CATGTGCGCGCAAATGTGTCTGTATTTACAAGTATATATACATAAATACATGTACAGGCAAAGAGTATGTCGATCTATGTATATACAAGTCCACCTACAAATGCATCTGTAGCTGCATACCCTTGTGAGTGCTTGCAGGTATGACTACCCAACAGCAGAAAAATTACAGCATGACCTAACAAGTTCATCCCAACACCCCAATTCCCCTTAAAAAAAAAAAGGAAAAAGAACGTACTCAGCTGGCTGGATAACCTTGGTCTCCGCTTCTTCAAACTCATCGTCTTCGTCATCTTCTAAAGTTAAACTGCAACAGATGACTTCAGTTAGCCATAATTTCAGCAAGCAATCAAATATTTATTACTCATTAATAGCATCATACTAATAGTATTCATCATACATCTAAAAGGAATAAATATCTGAATATCTGTGAAACTTTAAACTTCACTGCACATAAATGGGCAAATGAAAATTAATTAGAAAATAAAAATGAAAAAAACACCTTAGTAAAATCAAATATAAACCCTTTCCTCTAAATACTGATGCCTTCATTGGTGGTAAAATATGAATGACTATGTACTATTAAACACTTATCAAGTGAAACCTGAAAATAAGTATAAAATATAGATATGGATACTACATCTACTACTACAACCACTACTACTACTACTAACAACAACAACAACATAACAGTAATCCACTCACTTGGGTTGAAGCAAAATCTCATCATTGTGCGAAGGAGACACAGATATAGTTCGGACCCTTTTCGAAGCAGAGGATTTCGTCACTAACGGCTTCACTTTATCTTCAATCATGGCCACTGGACCATAAAGATGAGCATAATGTTCCCTGTCAAAGGAAATTAACAGCTGTTTGTTAATGTGTGTTTTTACTGTATTAATGATATCTGTTACGTGTTTGGTGGCGAAGGTGATGGCGATGATATTGATATTAATACTGACGGTGACGATCCTAAAGATTATAATAGTTATAAGTCTGCTACCACCAGTAGTTATGCTGGCAATGAAAAAGTAAAGAACACAGACACCAGTAAGAAAAGTACTTACGAAATTGCAATTTTCTCGAAGAGTCTCGTGAGTTTGGATTCACTGCATGGCTTTACAAACCATTTCTTGAGATATTTGTCGTTGTAGTGAATGATCAGCTCCTGTGGGGAGAGGGTAGTAATATAACCGTTAAGGATGATTCTCCCAATAATGTGGCCAAGGCAGTAAATACATCTTTCATCAAACAATATCCAAAATATAGAATTCTGTCCACACGAGGGGTGATTCACGAGCAGGGATAGAATAAGAATCGGAAAAAAAACGACCAGAATATAGAATTCTGTTCACACGAGGGGTGATTCACGAGCAGGAATGGAGTACAAATCGTAAACAAAAGACAGGTAAGCCATAGAAAGGTCCGTGGCTATCGTTGAAGTAAAATCAAGGTCTACAGTATATCCATGTGCAGACCTTGGGTAAAATTACCCAAACCGAGAACAGACCCCGACTGTTCCCGGTCTACTGTGTTGACAAACAGCAGTATCTTTGCCCAGTGATGGGTATTTTAACCGCATCTTCGTGAGAACAGCTCGTTCTGGTAACACTGGAAAACTATCTCGCTTCTGACGTTACAATACGCTTATACCAAAGCCCCTTCGCGTGGACAGAGCCTTGTTTCGTTGAAAAGACACACTCCCGTGACTAAAGGGGTATTTAACTTCCCCTGAATATGATTTAAAAAAGGAGACCTTTGATACGAAGCAGAAAAGGTCAGGATTCATGTACTTTAACCCTCCGCCCCGTCCGATATGAACACCCCTGTACCTTATTCATTTTCCCCTCCAACCTCCTACAATATCCCTTGCACATCAAACTCACCCGAAGATAGAAGTCTCCGTGCTGCCCAAGAATCTCCTCGACGCCCGCCATGATGTGGTCCATGGCGGTGTCGTTGATTTCTTCATTTAGTTTCTTATGGTCTGAGCGCTTCTTTTGTATTCTGAGGAGGTTCACCAGGGGCTTGATTGATATTCCCTGCGAGGGAGATCGTTACGGTTATTTAGCGTGTAAATTAAGGGGTGTATATAGTTTATTACATGTCATATTAAGCTAGATAAATAGCACAAATCAAACCGCAAGTAACACCACAAAGACCAAAATATAATGCTGCGACAAAAAAATGTCATTTTTAAGAATTATTCTACCATAACTAGAGGTAAGTTTTAATACTTCCCTACGTATTTCGTTAAAAAATGTAATAAATGAAAAAAAACATGAATAAACACCAACATGCCTCCATGTTAAACACTCTTCCTTACCTGAATGAAGCCTGTGAATAAAATAACCATAAGAGTTGTAGTGATGAATATCCTTCTTGGGTCAATTGTTTGGTCTAACATGTTGGCCAGAGAGAAGGCCACGGCTCCTCTTAAACCTCCGTACGCTGTGATGAACTGCTCTTGGAGGCCAATTTTCTTCATTCGATAGTGATTCATGACTATGGTTATAAGAGCTACCCCTGGAATAGCGAGGGGAAAAAATCTCGCATATTATCTTTGGAAAAAGAAAAAAATACATACATATAATTACATATATAGATAGATACATGGATAGTATACTCGAACATGGATATAAGTATACTCGAACAGCTGATGCACAGCCAGATATATCACAAGTTGATATAGATATTCAACGATGGAAAAATGATAATAAATGAAATATACAGTCACTTTAACCAAAACCATTTTGTAACCTACTTAACAGTCACCAACCAACCAGAACCACCTCCAATGAAGACCAGGTAACCAAACGCTCACTTCAAGAAAAAGTCCTTGCAGGAATTCAATAAAACGCAAAAATAAAAAACAACAACAACAACTCCACACTGAGTAGAACCTCACCTGGCCATCTTAGTGAAGTACTTGACACACGTGTAAGACTTCTGTGATATATTCTGAAAGGCATAATTGGCCTGGAATAGTCCACACATGATGAGACTGAAAGCGAAGGACAAGAGAAGTTAGGGATGCGTTTCTTTGTGTGTGTGTGTGTGTGTTTGTGCGTGTGTTGTGTGTTTGTTTGTGTGTGTTTGTGTGTGTGTGTGTGTGTGTGTGTGTGTGTGTGTGTGTGTGTGTGTGTGTGTGTGTGTGTGTGTGTGTGTGTGTGTGTGTGTGTGTGTGTGTGTGTGTATTTAAGAGCGAAGATGTGTAGTAAAGTGTTTATACGCACGAAAGCTATTTTTAATCTAAGGTCAATAGTACTTAAGGTAAATAAATCAAATGTACCAACCATTTCCTCAATAAAAGATTCACATCCTCAAATAATACATTCAGCTCCCTCAGCAAAAAAAAAAAAAAAAAAAAAAAAAAAAAAACAAGTAAATAAATAAATAAAATAAAAAGAATAAATAAATAAATACAAAAAAATATATAATAATCAACGACCTGCAGCAATAATTCACAACCCACGCAAGTCCTTCTCTCTCTCTTCACTCACCTGATGATTCCTGAGAAGTGAAAGAGCTCCGCCGTCAGGTAGCAGAGGTAGGCGAGGCCAAGGAGGGCCAGGGGCTCCACCACTGCAACCGAAAGGGGTTTGAGTTCACGCATCCTCTTTCTCTTTCTCTGTCTGTTTTCTCTTTCGCTTTCGCATTCGCTCTCTGTCTCTGTCTCTCTCTCGCTCTCTTTCTCTCTCTCTCTCTTGTTCTCTTTCTCTCGGTCTCTCGCTCTCTCTCTCGCTCTCGCTCCCCCCCCCCTCTCTCTCATAGACGGTAAAATAAACCAACGCATATGCACACATATCTGCACAATATATGTGAACACATGTACGTAGATTATTAAATAGTGATAGAGGAAGAGAGGGTCATACAGCAGGAAAATTGAGAAAAAAAATAAAGCATGTGCGCAACTACCAAACAAACATACAGCCAAACACAAAAACAAACCAAGAAACAGTCATCCACCATCTCAGACACCCCCACCCCCTCTTTGATCCTTTCAAACCTCGCGCACATGCCCAGTTTGTTTAAAATTCATATATACGGACATGCATAAACACAGAAATAAATGTATATCTGTTTACCTGCCGGAAAGATACATATCTATAGATCTATCTATTCGGTAGATATGCATGTCTAGACTGATAGAAATAAGATTTATTTCTGTATATAAACATGCTCGTATAGTGAACATGCATTGCGTTGGGCCTCGCAAAATCTTAACAAACTTGCCGGCAGTCTTTACCTCTGACTTCAGCCGTGTACTTGGTGATCAGCGCCGTCACGCAGCCGAACAGAATGCCGATGACCGCGCCCGCAAACACGACGATGAAGAACGAGGCGACGGCTAAGGCATATTGACCTGCCGAGATGACCTCCATGGTGACGAACGAGGTCAAGGTGGTGTACACGACGATGGTGACGCCGTCTGGAAGTCAGGGATGAAGGTGATGAAATATGATTATTTTTTTGTTACCAATTTTTGAGAAATTAAAATGAAAGAAAATGGGTTTCTTTCGGAAGGTTGGGACCACTGATCTGAAATGAACTGGATCGAGGATCAATTTTTCATTTCTGAAGTTGACGGCGGCCATCTTGGGGAGACCATCTTGCCGTAGGTTGTTTGTAAAGTACACTTGGAGCAGTGAGAAGAACTTTAACATTCTATGATCATGTGTGGTATAGGTAGGATGATGTGGTATCTCTGGTGGCTTTTAATAAAGATATTTTGTGTTTACGTAACTGAAGGGAAGGGTCTGCCTGGGATATGAATAAAATCAGAAATATTCGATAAAAAAATGGCGATTCCTCTGTACGTCGTAGAAGTTTGAACGTGGGCTTTGCAATAAAGATACTGCATATATTGTCTAACCTAACACTCATTGCGCATCGCCGATTATGTACGTATTGCGACCTAAACGATCCCTCTTCAATGTTTATGGATGCTTGGTAAGTTTTGCAATGAGTCGAACAATTATGTAGTCATTTACCAACGTTACATGGAGATAAACACTGCAATTACTGAACTGTAGTGAGTAAAGTGGTCCCCCCAAGATGGCGCCGATCTAAGCTACGCATTTTGCCGCCCGAAAACACTAGGTTGCCCTATCCAGTTTAAATTGAGGGGAAAGGCTAGATCAGTAGCAACTCGAGGTGTCATGGCGTCTGTTTTGATGATTGCTCAATAAAAATATGACCATTAAAATCATCATTTTCCATCCTTTCTGAAAATGGAAGAGTCCAAAATGATCGACCATATTAACAAAGCATCCGTAACTTTTGTTTAGTCATCAAACTAAACCCCATGTGCTTTTATTTCCAAAAAACAGAATCAGACGCCATGACACCTCATCGAGTTGCTACTGGTCTAGCCTTTCCCGTTTATCGAGATCAGTAGTTGGAACAAAACACTGGTTTCTATTTCTTTACACTCATGATCCCCTTCTCTGACAGAGCCGCGAACTTACGTCATCATTTGTTTCATTTAATTTTTTTCTGACAACATATATTTCAGGCTGAGAAGGAACAGTAGTGAACAAACTTAAACCTAACGTAATGCAGCATTCTTTAGCCTTTATTTCCACCGAAAAAAACTGTCTTACGTCACTAGAAAGTGTCGCAAATTTCTTTCGCGCCACTTCCAATGGCCGGTCGGTTGCAACACAATGCTGCCAATACTTCTACGCTCTTCCAGAAGTTCGACTCCGCCCTCAATCCTAGGAATCGTACTGAGTTGACGAATCTGATTTTACTTTTAACTTGTATTGAATAATTAATAACCGTTTCACTCATATTACATTGGGAAATAACAATAAACGCATGATGTGAGTTATTAGCACTTAAAATTACAAATCAAGCGACGAAGACTATCGAAAACAATTGAAAATATGCGGGCTCTAAGCGTCTCCCATTTGTCTACCGACACCGGTTTCGAGCGTCACACTCCTTTGAATATTGGTTAATTGATATTAACTACATTTAAAAGGATATGTGTTTACGCATTCATATTCATTTATACTTACAAAAGAAGTATAATGATTATGAAGAACTTGCTGTAAAATTTCGTAATATTCTTTCGACCATTCAAACACATTTGTAAACAACACATGAATCTGTTTGAGGTACTTCCCCGTATCTCACTCGTCATGGAGCATTTTACAGGCCTGAACATGTCCAAGACTAAAACATAAATGATTTAATAAAAGCAATAACGATTGTTGCCTGTGCATGACATATCGAAATGTGTAAATCAAAACTGTAGGTATACGAAAGATAAACCTGAACTTCGACCGTCTTACTTAAGGCGCTGTCACACTAGGGTCCTATTGAAATGGAAGCATTTTAGTATTAAAGCTTATACTCTATATTGTTATCTATGATATAGTTTTCCATTGTTAATATTTTCTTATTATAGCTGGACAATCTAGTAATAATGTTCGTTTTCCCATATTACCTAACTGTGAGAGAAATTTTTTAGACTCTCACAATAGCCATAGACGTAGAATATTCTATATTCTGTCACATGAAATATCTCCATAACACATTGGAACTGGAAGAAAACATGTATATGTACATTATATATATATATATATATATATATATATATATATATATATATATATATATATATATATGTGTGTGTGTGTGTGTGTGTGTGTGTGTGTGTGTGTGTGTATATATATATATATATATATATATATATATATATATATATATATATATATATATATATATGTATGTATGTATGTATATATGCGTATGTAAGTATGTATGTGTATATATATACTGTATATATTTGTATGTATATATATAACACACATTTACATATATACACACACATGCATTCATCCATGTATGTGTACACACACACAGAGGCGTTCCGTGCGCTCATCAGCCAGGTGCAGTTGTCTACATGTGATCCCGCCCCCTTACATGGAAGCGGTGTCATAGAAAAGTGTAGCGCGACAGTTATTGTCGATGGAAATGAGGGCTCTTGAAGACAGGCTCGGTTTCATATATTCAGAATATGAACACTGATGAACCCCTTGCAAAGTGGCCAATTATTCTCCCCTCAAAGACTGCACATCAATGTTAACACAGCGATTGGATGCCTGAGGTATTAACAAAAAAATTGAGCTGAATTTAGAATTATCCTTCTTGACGGTTTGTGCCTTTAGTAAAAATGAAGATAATAATAATAATAATTAACATTTTAAACAAAATTGACAAAACATACGAATTCAGTGACAATATATTCTACTTTCATTTAAAGCACATTTTCTCATGTATTTTTTTTATAAGAAAAATATAATGCCATTAATCAAAAAAGGAAATCACACAATATTTAGCTCACACAGAAAAAAAGGTCATCAGCCGTCTGTATCTTTGTTTCTTCCTGCTGACCTTTACGCAAACTGAAGGTTAAGTGGTACTAGATTGGTCAATGACCTTTGAAGATAATCTAAAATGTCAACAAATCAATAGTCATACCGAAACTGTCATTACTTTTGCAGTAGGAGCAGTAGTAGTAGTAGTAGTAGAAGTAGTTGTAGTAGAAATAGTTGTGTAGTTGTAGTAGTAGTAGAAGTAGTAGTAGTAGAAATAGCAGTAGTAGTAGTAGTTGTAGAAGCAGTACTAGTAGTAGAAGAACCAGCAGCAGTAGTAGTAGTAGAAGTAGTGGTAGTAGTTGTAGTAGTAGAAGTAGTAGAAATAGTAGTAGTCGTAGAAGCAGTTGCAGTAGTAGTAAAACGTTATATACAAGGCATACTAAGATAGAAAAAGCTCCCCCCCCCAAAAAAAAAAGTAATAATAATAATAATAGTAATAATAATAATAATAATAATAAAATAATAAAATAATAAAAGAAAGAAAGCAACCACATCTCACCCACACTCACCATTGAGGAGAGATTCCCCAAAGACCAGGAAATACAGATCTTTGTTGACGCCGAGCTCCTGGAAGATGGCCAGCACCGCCACGGGGTCCACGGCCGAGATGAGCGAAGAGAAGACTAAGGTCTCGGTGAAGCTGGGAAAGGGAGGGTCTTTCAGGGTCGTAAAGAGGTTTGTTGTTCATGGTCTTTTGTGGGTTTGTTAGTGATTCGTAGAGAGGTTTGTTGTTCATGGTCTTTTGTGGGAGTTTGTTTGAGAGTCGTAGAGAGGTTTGTGTTGTTTTCGTCGTTTCGAGTTTGTTCGTATTTGTTGTTCATGAGTTTGTTTGAGAGTCGTTTTTGTGAGACGTAGAGGTTTGTTGTTCATGGTCTTTTGTGGAGTTTGTTGAGAGTCGTAAAGAGGTTTGTTGTTCATGGTTTCGTGGGAGTTTGTAGAGTCGTAAAGAGTTTGTTTGTTCATGGTCTTCGTGGAGTCGTTTTGTTGTTCATGAGTTTTTTGAGAGTCGTAAAGAGGTTTGTTGTTCATATTATTTTGGGAGTTTGTTAGTGATTCGTAGAGAGGTTTGTTGTTCATGGTGTTTTGTGGGTTTATTAGAGAGTCGTAAAAAGGTTTGTTGTTCATGGTCTTTTTCGGGTTGTAACGAGTAGTGTAAGTGTGATGGTGTGTCGCATAGTTCACGGAGGTATTCTGCGGTTGTAGTACATTTGTCTATATACGAAGATATAGATAGGTATATCTATTCTCGTGTAAACAAGGATTTAGAATATGTAATTTACGTATACAATGTACAGTCATGAATGAAATCATCTGGACCTACTGATAATGAACTGGCCAGATTGTTAAGCTCTAAAGGTTTGTTACCAAGTTATACCCTGATCACCAAATGGTCATCTATGCATCAGCTGAAGTGCTTTTCACGAAGCTGTACACGCACAAAGTAGTACACACTATCATGCACACACTGTACTCACCCAATAGCAATAGTGCCCATTAGACCTCCTTGTGCAACACCATACAGAGCTGGACCTGAAAATGTGTAGAATATATTCAGTGCGTATATATGTCTATAATAAATACAGTAATCTAACCGCTCTACGCTTATAATCATCAGAGCACCATCGTATATGTCTATAATAAATACAGTAATCTAACCGCTCTACGCTTATAATCATCAGAGCACCATCTCACTATATACGATATAAATATTATGCCATATCATATATAGTATAGTATACTCACCTATAGTGAAGATGTTGAACAGCGTTCCCTGAAAAGAAACAGCTAATCACTACATGCAATTTAATAACTGAATTACAAGCAAGTGATTATTTGCTGAAAAAGATTTCGTTATTCTAAATATTGACTATAATTGCTCTAACCAATTTTAAGATATTCCGACACAGATCAATCCTTTATACAAATCCATATAATGTAAACGATGATAACACTAAAAATTTTCAAAGAATAAGAATAACGACAAAACACAAGATAAGCCATAACGCATTTCGTAAGTCCCCTCTCTCTCAAAAAAAAAAAAAAAAAAAAAAAAAAAAAAAAAAAAACAATCTGATGACTTATTCCAAATTCCTCCATCACGCCCCCTGCGCTGTATATTTACTTATGCACACCTACACACCTTTTCCTGTATTTGTCATAACTAACTATTCACAAATAATCCCAATTGTCTTAGTAAAAAAAAAAGCAAAAAAAAAAAAAAAAAAAAAAAAAAACAGTAATGATAAAAAATAAATAAATAAACATTTTGTACTCACAATGACAGCAAACACGAGGACTGTGCCTAAGTTGTCAAAGAAGGCGCGGTCATGGAGGGAGTACGCTGACTCTAAGATGATGCTAGTGGCAAAAGAGGGTCTTATAAGAGAAGGAAATGATGCAGTTGGATTGGTCCACAGACGAGTCATGCGTGGGATTAACGAAAAAGGGATATCACAAGATAGGTAAATTATGCAGGTGGAATTTTATCAATTATACACATGTATACTATTTAGGCACTATATGAACAAAAAGGGAGATATTCTTAAGCAAATGAATTATATCATCTTTCCTCCTAAATGATTCATGCATAATATTGAAAAGTAGGAATGCTATGTATAAAAATGCGTATAATTCTAATATAATTCACAAATTTGTTTCATGCACTAGTTTTTCTTGGGCTTCACAACCTACAGTTCTTGTGTTGTTTTTTTTGTATTTTTTTGTATTTTTTTTTTTTATTTTTTTTTTTTTTTTTTTTTTTTTTTTTTTTTTTTTTTTTAGGGAAGAGAACTGAGGCTCACATCTATCAATATGTACTCATGCTAGTCTTCCCTTCTCAGTATCATGTGCAATGAGAGGATATTTATTTTCTAATAATCTACAGAAACAATCCGTAGAATCCTACATCACACAGACACTACAAACTGGCTTATAGATTCTTAATAAGTGCAGGATTCAAAAACGAACTTCAAACCATTTCACACAATTACATTTAGGGAAAAAAAGACATCTCGAAATAAATAAATTATACATTCTTACTCTACCACCCAAGTACTATACTTACGGAGGGAGTAAGACAAAGAAGAACTTGTCAGACGTGAAGTGAGGAACCTCGAAGTTGAAGCTACACGAGGAAGTTCCGTTGCCATCACTGCGACAGAGGGAAGGGGTCAGTGTGGGAATTTCCCGATTTCTCGTTAAATTGGCGTAAGTGCCTTTTCTACGTTAAATTTGTTATATATGGTATTGACTGCTCTTGTACAATAATTTCCGTGAATTGCAATTCGGTACGAGTGATATTTGTGTAAGAAAGGCAAGAATAGAAAATATATATATACATGTATACAATTAAAAAACAACCTAGGAATGTCGTTATTGCGTTTATCTCGTATTGATTTACTTATATTTACTTTACTTATATTACAAAAGTAATATATATGACGTTATAAAATGGTTAAACTCAATGAGGTAATACAATGGAAAAAAATCTTACTTCTTCAGATATTCTTCACTATTAGTTTTATAAACTTGTCTATTCACTCACATCCAATAGGACGGCATAAATGATAAGCCTATCGATTCGAACAACACGGAATACAAAAGTAAGTCCGTCTTGATTTCGTGATTCAGGAAGACAAGAATTACTTAAACTGGCGAAGTTATATGCAATAAACTCTTCACGTAGATTTGCATTGTTCTTAGATCGACTCTGTATTGAAACGTAATCTAACGACATAAAACTGCTTTTCAGTGCATGGATTTTCGGGTTGATATCTGTGATAGTTCCGAATGAGAACTATTGTGTAAATGATGACAAGAGTTTCATTCAAGATTTTTGCTGAATATATATCGTAATTCAGAATTATTAACCATAATTCTTCTAATCAGTTTTATGGCATTCCGGCAGGATCTTACTCTTTAAAAGACTCTGGATGTGAATAATTCACCATTAAGAATAAAGACGAAAAATTATATTTTACATAGATATGAATAAATGTCACAGTATTAAGAAATATTTCAGCTTTAAGACACAGAAGAATATCATTCACAAGTCATGCCTTAAGCCACATATATGCCTGTAGTGTGCAGCAGAACACAAATCCATAACTGTGTGATTGCATTCACGAATATCCATTCATATATCAAAAGAGAATCCAAGCAGATGGTATATGCACACACTTTATAATGCAAGAGGTGCAAAAGATACACAAAGGCTAGATGCACACAACTGGTGAAGATTTTGAGTGCAAGCCTTTATGTGGATTCCAAAATGCAAGTGTTGGTTCTTGTGGTGTGACAAAACTGGAACTAGAGTGTGGTTTTCGTGAACATAAACAAGGGGTGAGTTAATTTTGGCAGTCAGAAAATATGTCATATTCGCAATAGACGGTTGATATTGCCTGCCTTTGTGTTCTCTACGTATATATATATAGTTGTTTAATAATTATACTAACTGACCTATACTATGACACCTGGTATTCTCTGCCTTAAACACAATGAGGAGATATCTCCTTTATTAAATGTAAAACTTTCTATCTCTAAGACTTGCCATTGAAATAGATAATGTACTGTGGTTTCTGGGATTTCTGTGTGGGTTTTCAACACCATTTAAGTCACAGATTTTAGGACACATCTATGGGTTGTTAAGATGCACTGTTCTACTGTGTAACGGAGTGGCTGTATGACCGATAGCGGGTATGTTTCTTTCGTCACCTGTAAGGAATCAAGGCTGCAAATCCCTCTTATAAGCAACTCCCTCTCCCAAGGGATATGAAGGCCTTAGTCGTTCCCAGTGACCCAAGGTGAGCTCTAGAACAAGGATTTCCCCCTGGCCACGTTTAGACACGAGAGTGTAACATGCAATCAACCTAGCATTTCCCTCGACAAGGAAACCTTTATGTTGCATTGACCACGTGACTGCCACAGTGCGAGCTGGGGAGGCACCGAATGGCCTGAACCAAAGACTATGAACGACTGTAGTCTTTGCCTGCTCGAGCACTGCACGCGTCACGGCAGCCAAAAGCCCAAATAAGCCACTTGGTGCAAAAGAAACCTGGAGAGGCGCCCCACCTTTCTACTTCACTCACTGGCGAGTAATACATCAGACAGTCA